CCCCAAAACCCCAAAACCCCAAAACCCCAAAACCCCATTATTATATAAAATATTTGAACCAAGATGTTTAGAGTTTATTCAAAGATCCTAAGAAGACCAAAGACTTGACTATTTTACCTCCCTACAATGAACTTCAGCTTTGATAAGGAATCCCTAGATATTCTAGCCCAGTTAGATGAGAAGCTGATGAAGGATGGTGATTCAACGATTAGAAGCGACCCTCATGTTTATAAAAAGAAGGACACCGTCGTGTATATTAAAAATCTACAGGAACAAGCCAAATTCTTAAGCCTCTTAAAAATAAACAGCTCTCTGGCCTTGACAATAGGGATTGAAAAATCAATAGTAACAGCACTGATTCTGAACAATTTGAAGGGAGTGGGTACGCATGACTCTGTTTCTTTTGCCTCATCTACTGACATCCCAATTTCACTCACAGGGCTAGGCAATATCATCAATTTTACTGGAGCCCCTATTATCCCTTCTCTGACAGAGCAGGAGAACAAAATTGAGCTACAATCAAGCAGTGAAACCGTTGGGTTGATCTCTGGGTTGCAGGGGGCACCCTACAAGAGGAATCTTGTGAGCCGTCAGCTGTACACTGGGCACATGAGGATAGACCTAAATCAACCAATGGTAGAGAATAATTTTATAGTTCTCAAAGGTCCCTCCAACGCTGGTAAGAATCTAGTCGTGAAGGATATGATTCACTACTTCTTAAATGAGGAAACTGAAGAAGACAGGAGAGTTATCTATATTACTTCATCTCTTAAAGATGCCAGAAATCTTCACGAAAATGTCCTTGGGGAGGAAAGATCCAAATGAACTGTAGTCTCATCTCAGGAGATGTACAATAATGCAGCAGAAGTGTACTTGATGCCCAGAGCTGGACTTGTCCTCGCTCAGAAACTTGTCGAGAAGAAATGTAATGTTCTCCTCATTTTTGACAAGATCATTGATTACGATGTAAAAGAGAAGCAAATCTTCGATAATGCCAAACAACCCTTCGCACCAACAAATATTTTTAGTGAAATCATGGAAAATTGTGGAGATTTTGGACCAGGCAAAGGAAAAATGACTTCTGTAGTAGTTGCTGATACGGACACACTTAATATTGAGCATGAGAGAAGCATGACCAACCTTAGGACTCATCTAGAATCTATAGCAGATCAAATTATTGAGTTTGAGCCTTCATTCAAGTCCATGAAAAGCTCCTTGCCAAAGCTTGACCTTCTCACATTTACAGGATTTAATCAAGATTACTGGCAAAAACCTTTGATTGCATCTATCAGGAAAGATCTAGAACATTTTAGCCACTTGCTTAAGGATGCTTATAGAAATAATAAGAACAAGAGAGATTATGGAATCCAAGAAGACCCTTGGGAGAACTATCTATACCATGATTCCCAATTCATAATCCCTCTGATAAATCATCAAGAGCCACTAGATATCATAACCCAAATCTTGTTGTTCAAGTTCATTCACCGGACTGTTGGTGATGATGCTTATGTAAGTTCCCCCTCTAAACTCTAGGCCGATTCAGACTGGAACGAATGAATATCTGAACATTTACAGAAGCCTAAGGACCTGATCGCTAGCCTAAAGCACTTCTCTAAATCCTACAATGAATTTCCCAACCAGAGGACCATCTCCGACATCATCCAGACCCATCTAAACTCAGAGTTCCCCAAAAATTCCTTCGAGGACTGGAACATCGCCGAGGAAGAAGTGTTCAAAATCAACGAACAAATCGACCAATTCCTAAAGATGTTCTACACGAACGCCAAAATTAATGGAGGTCTTAGGCCCCACAAGCTAGACTATTGGAAGAATATTGTATAATCAGCCTTAAAATCTACCAAAGGGGTTTTGGGGTTTTGGGGTTTTGGGGTTTTGGGGTTTTGGGGTTTTGGGG